CTCTCTCTCTCTCTCTCTCTCTCTCTCTCTCTCTCTCTCTCTCTCTCTCTCTCTCTCTCACTTATAGTATCTCCAATTTAATTTTCTTTTTAATGTAACATTTACATAGAATTCTTAAAGAATTTATATTTAATTAAAAGGCCATTTATTTGCGCAATTTGTCAATATCGATACAGTCTAACTAAACAAGAGAACTCGGCGTAGATTTCTCTCGACGAATCTCGCCATTACATCGAGTTGGTAGCTGCTATGCTGCAATAATATGCAATACCGCCAAATGATGTTGCAATTCGGCACTTTGCTTCGCACCGGAAATCGTGATTTATGATTTGCATCTGAATCAAACGAACTAACAAAATTAGAATCGATAGGCGCGTCGATTAGCGAGGTGATTGTCGATCTGTCGATCATTTCGCGAAATAATTATCTGACATAATAATGAGACTTTATGAAACCACGTGAATTATGATGCGAGCCGAACGGCAGAATGCGGTCACCGTGCCAGAACCAATTTGGATGACCTCAAGAATGCATGAGAACCAGGCATATGCAAGTATACGCCGGTCTCGAGTGCACTTCGTAATCTTTGGACACGTCTCGCATCTCGCATCGAGAGGAAACAACACTCGCGTGCATTGCGGGAAGCGCCGTTATTTAACACACGTTCCTAATAATGTCGCGCCTTGCAAAGCTCAAAGCAGTGAGTCACTCGATTTACGTCGCTCGATTTCAACCCTTGAACGCGTACAAAATGTCCATCTCAATCTGTACGCAAGCTGCTTTTCTTTCGAAAAACTATACACTTGTTTGTATGCGACTTCAGATATATTGATACTTCTTATCGAAAGTTTCATTTTACCACTCTGAGATACTGCAAAGACTGCTAAGTAAAGTTGAATAGTATTCATATCCTTCAACTTTAAACGATGCTAAAGAAAGAATGAAAGGAGAAAGCAGCTTATCGTAAGAAAGAGCGAGACAACGAGAGGAGATATAGATGAGAGAACGCAGGTGAGTTGTACGCGTTCGTGAAAATTTTATTAGAGCTTATATAGGAACTAAGTCGAAATTGCACGAGAAATTTGTTTGTCCCGTTATTTTCGTAATACGCGTCTAGATCAGTCGATTCCATCGCACCAATGTACACATTTATAGTATATATATTAGGTGTGATGAGTTGGGCGCCAAGGTCGCACCGTGGTCAACATTTCCAGGCCTGGCTTTAATAGTGCACGTAGCAAATTAACGGTTCGACAATCATCTAAGTACTCCATTTTCTTCTTCAGCACTTTTCTAAACAACGCTACGACGCCGGCGAACAAAACAATCGACGTGAAGACTTGAGTATTTCTGCAATCATGTGCGAAACACTTTGTTTATCTGTTTAAATGAATTTGAATGAATTTTGTCATGTAAAAAAATCGTAAACTATTAATATCATATAAAAGGTTAAAAGATAAGTTCCTCAAATTGAGAGCGATCGGCTTTTGACTGAAAAACACGTGATGGATGACGCGCGAGATATTTTCCAATTGCGACAATGATCCTCACGATTCATTGGCAATTAAATTACAATTTCGATAATTCTCTCACACCAATTTAATGGTGTTTACGATCATATTTTTGAGGTAAAATCGACATAGAAAGTTTCACATCACGATAAGCTGTATGTTTTTGTCTTAAATTATGAATATTATTACATTATAAAATTGTATAAAACTCGACAAAATAGATAACTATGTTGAAAAAGAAATTGACTTCAGTATTTTCTGTTGATTTTGTCTAGCTATGTCGTCAATTCGACAATAAGTAACTGCACGAACATTAATTTTTTACTTACCACTATTCTTAGTGTTAAGAATATCTTCAGAGAGTACTCTAATATATCGCGACGTCGAAATTATCAGAATTTCACTACAATCAAGTAAATGACAACACACACAGATAAAGCAATTATCCGATTAGAGAGTTTAACTGAAATCGATGGCAGCTCTCGACGTTCACTTCGCGATAGTTTGAGCGTGGCAAATTATTTAATGCGATCATATTAATTGTATCCTGTCGACGTCATCGCAACCACACCCAATCTGTCTTCGGATGAGAAGTGAACCACATGAACCACGATAAACATACGCGCGCGTACATTTCCGACGCGTTGGCGGTTCGTTTGAAAAAAAATCCATATGCAACAGGGAGATGCATAAGTAATGTTAAGAGACACATTAACATAACTTCCTGCCAGATTAAAAGGAATGGCACGCAATTCGCCGGTACTCCCGTATATTTGCGTTCGCGACACGCGAGGTACCGAAAGTCGCTGGATATTTGACCGGGCGAACCTAATTTTGTTTATCGTGATATTTTAGAAGCGCTATCGCTGATGGTCAATCTGTTCTCGGCACCGGTAACCTTGTGAACGTTTGCTTTCGCCAAAGTTCATCGGCGAGACTGTACGAAGAAAATATTTATTTTTCCAGTTCGCTCGATATTTGATTTTTGTGAATTTATATAATACGACGAAGAAACAAAAAAAAAACAATTCTTTTGTAATACCCGTAATTTGTATACTTGTTCGAGTACGTATTGTCGCAACTGTTATTTTTATTTTTATAATAACAGCGTTCTTATCCGAATAATTCGATAGTATATATTCCGCCGTTTTTAAAATATAAATAATTTCACAACTGGTGATTACGGTAGTGTAATTGGACGTTTGGCGGGTAGACGCGAGATTTGTGCTCTGATAATGAACCAAATATACCGGTTACTTCCGGCGTCTGTGACGACGATCGAAGCCGCAACATATCGCGGTATAGGTCAAGGGTGCGCTACCATTTTACAAGCAGATAATTCCTATAATTCTGTCAAACCAGTGAATAACCATAAATCATCTTTACGTAGTGCAGTGAGCCGGAAAATGAAATAAACACGCTTCAAAATATTAATCTTTCGTACTTGTTGCAACTGATAGAGAACACGAGGAACTCATTATACACATAGCTCAGCATATTTGATAAAATTGAAACTTTTCGAGTAAAAATCCTGAGAGCCTTCTAACAAAATCGATAGTACTCACGTCCATAATTTTACAAATCATCAGTGATAAAAGTTTCATTAAATTAATTTGTTACATTTATATATAATTTTGATTAAATTAAAAATCGCTTATGTATCTGTTTCTACCAACTTCGTTTGAACTTTGATCTAAGTTTAAATAGAGTCTTTAATCTTTATCTAAATAGAATTTAAATTCAAATTAAAGTTTAATCAATGTTGGTACACGGAAAAAAAATATATATAATTGCTTTTTTCATATAAATTATCTTCCGCTTTAATAGTATATAAAAACAGATATTTAGTAAAGTCTATCTTGCTAAGGAACATAATAAATTTCGCTAGAAACATGATAGATTTCGCATTGCAAACTCTAAAATATAAGTAGCTCATATAAAATGAAAGGATAGAGTGAATCACGGCAGAATGTCCACCTATTTCTTACAAAATCCTTAGTAACTTACAAAATATTATAGTAATTTTTACTATAAAATTCTCTACGCGTAGAAACGGGCATTAATTGCGTAATTTATCAGGAATGTCAGCCGTATATGTGAAGCGATAGAACATCTAATAGATCTTTATCGCTAAAAAATAATAAACTTCGTGACGCCTCGCGACATCACTGAGCCGGAAGAAGGTTAGAAAGGTGTTGATACAGCGTGCTGCCGTGTCGTACATGTACTATATCGTTTGTTGTTCGATACTCAGTGCATTGGATGCATGCTGCGCGCATCGCGGTGAATTAATTATAAATTCATCACTTTTCGAAGCGACATCACTAATGAAAGCTGCGCTAACCATATTGATCAGATGGACAAGCGCCTGCATCGAATTCTATAGTTAAACTTAAAGTGACTGACTCCACAAAGAACAACATTGACAACACATTGATGTCTCAGACATTACTAGATTTCCAAACACGCGAACGGTGATTATTACATGTATTCGACGGGAAATTCTGTTAGCAAACTACACGATGAATAACATCGAATTATTCGATCGTACGAGCCGCTTCGCAAAATGTATCGAGCAAAATTAATGGGAATGTTAAATTTGTCAATAATTTCAAGAAATATACCGTCACACGTATTTTCTCGTTTCTTTATTGCGTCTGTACAAAAGTTTGAAAGATTTATTTCCCGTTTAATCTCAAAGTCGCCCTGTAAATGTCCATTATTCAAGTCTTTGCATTTGAATTAATATAAATCGAAGTAAAATCGAGAATAACCATTTGCCTGTTTCGCCGAAGAAGCAATTTTCTCAATGGATTATAAAAGATACCGCAACCAAGAAACTTCCCGAAGCTTCACATCCAACTTTATGCACGCAACTGACTGTATTTTAGTATCGACGCATAATCGATATTCGTCCTTATCAAAATTCACTGATAATCGATAAAGTCGATCGCAATACTGATAATCGATAAAGCCGCTATCGACTTTTCTCGAGCGCACGAAGTAGAGAGGATCGTAAAACTTCAGATGTTTTCATACGGGAGACATTTTCCTTCTTTTTCGGGCAAACGTCAAATTATCAAGTAAAAATTTTACTAAGGATAGCGACCAAGAAGCATGGACGACAGCACATCCGACAATGGCAGGTGAGCGATATTTCACGCTCTCCCGTCGAACTTGCCGGATCCATTCGCAGGAGAAGTAACCTGTCCAATGACGTCGCGATACGGTTTCTCGCGTAAAATACGAACGAATGTTCTCGCGACACCGGCACTGAGAGCTCGGCCGATTTCGTGTGGCGTGTTGTCGTGACGCGAATCTGACAGGAACGTATTTCTCATGCGATTTTATGCACCACCGGTGCATCGACTCGGTGAGGATGCCTCTTTTAAATTCCACGGACGAGCAGTCACAGCCGTGTCGATGATCGAAATCGCTCTCACAGTCAACTTGCCTGCCCAACGTTATCTCTCACATTTCGCACACACATGTCGCGTGATCATAAAAGCTCATTAAATTTTCGCCCGAGGTCGTAAACCGAGCTGAACATCTGCGAACGACTTCGAGGAAAAACCGGAAATTTCGCACAAGGATCGATAATATTCCATTTGCTTCGATAGATGATTACGCATCGAGCGCAATAATGTTTATGACGCATTTTACAAAGGCAACACCTTAATTAGTCTGCAACAAATTTATGTTTATGCTATCGAATATCAAAACATCACTCGTGTCACTCGTTCAAAATTCGTTAAAAAGTAAACGTTTAATTTGTGTACACCATTAATTTGTGTACACAAAAGTTTGCAAAGTCAGAGTACAATAATAATGTTGTGCGTAAAGAACTAAATACCCGAATTTCTACATAGACGTATCTTTAATGAACCGAGAAAAGAGATGGATGAGCTTATGGAGGAAAACGAGGACGACGATGCGAAAACGGTACGACGTATGGACCGTCGCAGGCGCAGAGCTGAGAGAAGATCAAATTGCCAATGCAGACCTAGAGCCAGATCCAGGAGACGTAGAAAACGGAGAATTGTTTCGCAGAATCCTTTCATCATCTTCTATCTCGAGATGTACTTCAAGAGTCCCGGCAAACGCGTGGCGGAGGTCGCCCGGGAGGCCGGCAAGATATGGTCCAACATGTCCGATGAGGACAGGAAACAGTACGTAGAACTGGCCGAAAAAGAGCGTATGAGGCGATGCAGGATGATGAGAAGGAGAGGTGCACGTTAACGCTGGCAGTGAAACTTATGGCTGTCGTTAAATGCTCCGGAAGAAGCTTCAGTAACAAACAACGATAAAGGATGTTTATTTATTATGGCAAAAAGTTAAGCCATAATTTATTCTTTTTTTAACTTCGGATACAATGCAGCGAAAAACATGTATTGAAAATGACAAATTCGCTGAAATAAATTTTACGTTTTAATTTAGAATTTCAATTTAAAATTATAAATAATGTGATATACATATTCCAATTTAATATAAAAAATATAATGTGTAAATCATCATATGTGTATCGATAGCATACGATACGTATAGTTTCCGAAATTTTAAAGCACCAAGTGTACTGCGCTTGAAAATGAAAAAGTATAATAGAACGAATGGTTGAAACGAACACGAAGGTCATAAAAACGGTATACACGCGATATTGTATAATTTGTGAACAATGTTGTATAATAAATTTAATATATCTAAATATGCATAAATTTTTAAACAACTTAAGCATTATAACATTATTTGCATTTTTCATAATTTCTATGTTTTAATGTATTTTAATAAATATATATAATTTGTAATTAATAAATCAAAGTTCCTTTTAAATGCGAACAGTAATCAATTTTATGGATAGAAATGATACTAAAACTTGATAAGGATACCGAATCATGACTGATCTCTTTGTTAGAGAGAAATTTGCATGCCAGCAAACTTTTCATTATTTGTGTTGATCTAACGTTTCTGATATTTGCACCTAAATTTAATGGTAGAAGGTAATCAGGTAGAAGGTAGATATCGAACAAACAGACAATGTAAACAGAGCATAACGGATTAAATGCGCAAACGTCAAACGCGCGATGGCAAAAGTATAACCTTGACCAATGCGACCGCTTGATCCCTGCAGGTCGAACGGGGTCAAGGTTGCGTTACAAGGTACTTTAAGTGCTTCCATGTTTCACTAAAATCCCGTACGGTTTTTCTTACCGCGACTTTCTACATAAGAAATTGCACGCAAGCGTTTATAAGTTAAAACAAACGCCGGCAATTTCAGCTGACGCTCATCAAATTTATTTAGTAGTCGCGCGAAGCTAAATTGAAATTTTATTAATTTAGTGATTTCTCTTTCTTCATTAATCGAACAATGCGACTTCATTTAATTTGAGATACAATATGATTATATGTCAGCCGTTAGTTTCCCGAATTCAAGTATCTTCTGGTGCGAGACTAATTTTATACGATAAAAATTTTTCCGATATTTTTTCCCCAGATCGTCTGAGAAGTCATAGGAACAATATGATGTTGTAATAATACTACTACTACTATTACCACCGTCGTCTACATCAATGCACTACGTATGTATTGTATCGGATAGCCTCGCATAATGTACAGTTTGCCTGCCTTCTGTGTGCAAAGTTTCAACTGCATCGGCATTCATTCATTTCCACACAAACACACCACTGCATCATTGAACGCGAACCACCTCTCCGTTCTCGTGCGCTCTTTGCGGGCACACCAACGGACATATTTACACTTGGCTCGTTTCAAACCTATTGATACCTGTCGTGCTATCATCATATCATGACTATCTACCACGTGAATCTCACGAGGTCACTTATATTGACGAAGATATTTAATCTCCATCTGATTTATCGCCGACGCGGATTCATAAAATTTTATTAAAAAAAACCTTGGAGCACTATAAGCGGTTTAATTAATGGTTTAATCAACTCGATTTTATAGAATAATCGAGTAGGACGGACTCGAGTAGGAGAGATAGTACGCATAGTTGCGTGGCGTGTTATTAATAATAAACGCGTATTGACACTGACGCTTTTCCACGCAAGCTCGACGATCTCTCCGCCCTTGATAATGATTGCTTCAGCATCCCCTGTAATATCAACCACGAGACCACTGTTCGACATTCCTCGATATAAGCCTTTGAATGAAACCAAACGACGAAATCAAAACAACAACAACGACAACTATCCTATATATCGTCACGAATTTTCGTTCGTGCATGCTTTCTAATCTGTCCACTTGCTCCGTGAGTGTCACACAAGCCCTGCGTCATCCCCCTTAATCATCAACCTTGAAGCCGGTCGTCCCCTCCAGCCCCGCGGGATCCGGAATTATAAGCTCGCCCATGGCAAAGTGGGACTTACCGTGCGGAGGAATGATACGTCGTCCTGCTCGGAGCCACCCTCGCTGTCGGCCATCCCTTCGACACGCTTTCCCCACGCGACGAGCCTCCTTCGTCTGCGTCACTTTCACGCGCGCTCGCACCTGTGCACGCGTTTACGCGAGCGTGTGCCTATCTCGCGTGTCTCTTCGTGTCCGAGGCACCCTTATCGATGCTGGAGAGGTAGCGGATAGTCATGCACAATCTCGCGTGGCTGGCATATTCCCGTCGCTATCCTGACGCAGGTTCTCGGCCTCTTCGTCTCGTCGACTGAGCCGACAACGAGGACGAGGAAGAGGACGAGGACGTCGACGACGACAACAATGTAGACGACAGCGACGATGGCGACGTCGACGTCGACGTGCTAACCCGTCGTGGAGCACCGACGATCACCCACTGCTGCCGGGAGGGCACCCAGACCGTTCGCCGACGACCCTTGCGCAAGCGCTCGGCACCTTCAATCAAATTCCGCATACTCGTGACTACGTTAACGTAAAATCCCCCTCGGTTACGAACCGTATTACACGCAGCTGTCTTACCGTGAAATATCGCCGGGATATATTTTTTCGAAATGAAACCAAATAACGCGCTGGAGAGTTGTCGGAGTGTTTCGGGACATGAGGAACGTGTCACGAACGTGTCATACAATATTAAATCGGTTAGTAGAGGAGGCGATCTATGGAAGATGAACTTATGGACTGGAATGACCTTTGAGGGAATATATCTCTTCAAGTTTTCAAGCTCTGAAGAAAGTCGCTATAATCTACTCGAACTTTTAATCGAAAGAAATTATCCGCACTAATGTGCACACATAATATTGCACATACGCGGACTATCTCGACTACTATACATTCGCTCGTGTTAATTAAAATTCCGCGCGATGTGCGACGAAACAAGAGTATTCTGGCGATTCGCTTATGCGTAAAAATAGTTTCGAGCAAACACACATTTCTCATTCCCACGGTAATCTCAGATGTGAGTCACGAAAGGAGTTTTCGGCCGGATTACGTTCTAGAGTTAGAAAGTATTTCGGAATGGTAAAGCGCGACAGCGAAGCTATAAGGTCGAGACGTCAAGTGGCACTTTTAATCCGTGACTAATCAGATCTGGTTCGTCTATAGTGCGAATGTAAGAAGCACAACTTCACCAACTATCGATACTGTCGTTTCAACCTGCGAGCGACATTTGTAATACCGCCATCGATTCGCAATCACCGATATTTTTGCCATGAGCGCGAATCATGAATAGAATACGAAACGCTGAATATGGCATAAAGCTGAGCCGCGCTTAAATGCAAAATTGAGTTAAGGAGCGTTTCCAATCTATAGTCTTTATACGTATAGTACTGCAGTTGTTTAACACATGAGATTGCGATGAGCAATCTGAACAACGCAAAAGACGTGCTCGAGTATCATATTAAACAAGCCGGATATTCTTCCAACATCTGCGATGTAACATCTAATATCTTATTCGCAAGAATGCATGAAATTGTTCAACCCTTCTTATTGAGAATGTATAATTTGTCAGTGACGATGCAACGCTTCGGCGCAGCGGACAAAATACATTTGGTTGATTTTACCTTCCCTGAGAATCTATTTCCAGCAATGCGACAGAAATAGATGCATCCGTGATGGCTTACCGAAATATCCCCATGCGCTTAGTGAGACTGACTCCCATTACCGCGCTTAATATGTTAATCGAAGGTTAAGGGTACCTCGAAGGACACGTGATCTCTACCGTTGCAAAAATTCACAAACCTGGCTGAAGTAATCAGAGACGAGCAAATGTATCTCCTTCCCTGCTCGATGAAATCCGCGCTCTTCGTGATAAATTAGATAAAAATTCCATAGAAAATCGATAAAAATCTCTACTCCTCCTATTCTAAAAATATTTCTTATATCTTTATCCTTTGTCGTGATATTGAACACTTTATGCCAGAGACAATTTATCGTTACTTTTACAAATAATATTCAACAATAATATCGTGAAACTATAAGGTCAAGACGAGTTAATATAATCCCACAAAATTCCAAGAAAGATCTTGAAATCTTTATTGAATTTATTAAGCTAACTTTAAATAAACGACTCCCAAGAGTGATTGAAATGCCGGAGTGTCTTTTAAATATTTTTACGACGGCTTTTCTGTTGTCTGGCAACGCTGTTCCAGAAAGCAGTATTGCATAAGAATACAAAACCGAGTTTCTAATTTTAGGATAAGAAAGATACAACTGTCTGCTAAAGATTGAGAATCTCACAAATATATTTAAAATTCAAAATTCCATATCGCAGCTGTTTTTAAGAGGCAATTCATCATTTGCCGTGATAAACGAGAGTCTAATTCTAAAATTAATTTTATGATTATACAGCGTGTGCTCTGAAGCTGCGCATCAAATCACTACCTTGTGCATGGTGCGTTTCTGATGGTATTCCAACTTCACTTGGCAACATTTTACACGTCTCTACGACACTCTGACCGAAATTATATAAAATTACCTGATTAATTAGAAGAGAAAAATGATCGTGAACGCTATACAACCCTGCAGAAACATCCCTCGCGTACCACTTAACGTTTCACACACGCACAAACACACACACACACACACACACACACACACACATACATACACATCCTGTTTTCAAGCGTATCGGGGTTGCGCGGTGCAACCGGTGGTGCACGAGTTCCGTTGCACTGGTCGCGAGTAGTCACTCGCATCCGGGAGCACGCATCCATGAGGAAGAAAAAGAAAATCAATCGCGACATTCACCCCGAGAAGACTCACCTCGAAATAGCACTTCACTTCGACACCGTCGAACTCTCAATTCGCGCACTCGTCTCGTTTCACGATCTCACGTGAGTGTTCGCAAGGACGACCTTGTCGACGTTGCACCTTCCACGAGGGTGCAGGAGGTCGTATATTTCGCAGTTCGACCGAGAGCTCACCTCGTAGGGTATACGCTCAGGCCCCCGCGACGAAATTTCCGTCGAAGCTCGAGGAGCTATGTCGAGCCGAGCCGAGCGGAGCGGAGCGAGAACGAGCGACTCTCCGGTGGCTATTTTCAGCCTCGAGCCGAGTGAGCCGCGCAGCTCTGCTCTGCTCCGCTCTGCGCGCTTCGTATCATTCCTGAGGAAATCTCAATAAACAATCCAAGTCACCAAACGGCTGTCGATGACCGCAATCGCAATAAACAAGTAGGTAAGCAACGACAAAATGTTCCTCCTTGTGACATGAACGTGTTTCCTTTGAAATTTATATTATTTGTTTAATTGTTATCTTGGAAAAAAGAATTATTCCTGATGAAGTTCCGCAGATCTGCGACAACAACGATGAAGAATAGTCAATGGCTACGAAGCTACAAAATGTAAACAGACCGAAATGAAAAAAACGGGAAAAATATGATTGAATTCGAGTACTGTCGCATCGAGTAGATCGTTTGACAATGTTGGGTTCGCACATTCTCAAATTACAGCAAATGACTATTATAATCTTGTGGCTCGCTCTTGTTTCGCCACTAATCTCTGCCAAGATTTTCAAACTAACGTGTTGTTCACGCGACAGAATGGATTCTTCGAGAAATAGATTAAGCAACGCGCGACTCTCTGTTACCGACGATTTTTTGAACTCGCCGCCATCGATTAAAGAACCGCAGCACGCGCAGAAGCTGACGTGTCTCGACAGAAGCAGCCGACAGGAGCATCATTCGCGTATAGTCATTCATTTATTTTCGCTGTTAGGTTAACGTTTTGACAAATATCACAGTTTCACATAGATGTTGGGAAAAATCAAAACAAAGCAGGACAAAAGTGGCGGTAAGTGCATCAATGTCATTATGGAAATAAACACAACTGCAGCAGACACAGTGGAACTTGTGACACACACATTGTACTAATTTTCTTGAGAGGTTATGTTTGTTATTTATTTGTTTGTTTTTAAAACAGTAAACTAATTGACGCGTTCAATCGTAGTTTACCTAATTATTTTGTAAAATATTATATAGTTTGTGCGTAACAAGTATAATATCGTAGTCAATATGATAATGCATGGATGATAGATTGATAGGTTATGATTCCATGGTCTCATATTAACTGCAATATTATCGGATAATGTAAGAAAAATGAGCTAAAACAATTTAAACGAAATTTCATGTTGCAGAAATGATTGCATATAGCGAGGCTGCAGTCTTAAATAATGCTGCAGTTGTGGAATATTGTAAGATATCAATGGCAGCGCTGTCAGGTGGTACAGCTGGTCTGTTAGGGTTAACTGGAATATATGGATTCGGATTTTATCTTTTTGCTGTTTTCGGATTATGGGTAAGATTACTTGATTTAGTGATAATTTTATATAATACTACAAAAATCTTTTTGTAGGGAATGCTACTGATGAAAGCAGGTGGTCAGTGGAAAAAGTATTTCATTAGTAGGCGGCATCTTTTAACGAGTGGCTTCTGGGGAGGGCTTTTTGTATCCTTTAAGGCAATTTTCCGTCAAAACGTATCTTAATTCTATCATAACACTGATTCATTTTCCTTAACAGCAATTGTCTCGTGACTATGAAACTTCTACTCTGCAGACATACGTATTATTTTGGACGTATCCTTTCAGAATGCACAAATAAATATTTTCTTAACAAGCTCAAACAGCATTTCAACAGCTATATATAATATATCGATATAAATTTCTTAATAATTAATTAGATTTTTATATGGGATGGTACACGTCTATTAAGAATGGCAGCAACAGGTGATTCGCAGCAATTATGATCATGCAATTACATACATAATACCGTAAAGATACATAATTACATAAAACAGTCATTGAATCGTTGTATTTACATCACCTCTAAGTACTTCAGACACTGACCAAATAAACGATAAAGCGTTCACGTGATATTGTATAAGTATATCGATATGTATATAGAATACACTTTTAATTATGTAATAAAACAATTGCGGCTTTTATTATGTGGTACTTTAATATTAAGATAGAAATAATATACACACATGTATAGAGAAGGTAATGCAACAGCAATATGAGTAGTCATATTCTTTATTATATGTATCATATTTACGTAATAAATTAATCAATAAATTTTAATTATTCGGTGAAGCATTATCGGTAGTCCTACATATCTGGTGCATGCATTATGAACACATTTGTATAAATAGTTCTATCGTTAATACTTCTAATCGCTATCGTATTAGAATAATATAACTGTTAAATTATATACGTGATGTAATATTCCTAAGTCGTCTGTTATTTTAAATGTCGAGGAATTCCTCACGTCCTCGACCTGATTATTAATGGTATACAAACCTTGTGTGACGATATCTAATGATTTAATGTATATTTTATATTTCTATTTTACTATACATTAATATTCCTTATATACCCCAAAGTAGAACTCTTACACATATTGAAAAACAAAAAAAAGTATGAAATGGGTGTACAACTTTCCTTGATTTGTACTCACATGCTCGCACTTTCTACTTCAGCGTTGGCACTTTGATTCATTCGTTACTATGCTACCACTCTGGCTACGGAAATAAACGGAAATCGTATATTTATATATCGCTAGATAAAACACCACATCTGTACCTACAGCATTCTTAATAATCGAATATATTTTAAATAATACAATGTTACTCTCTCTCTCTCTCTCTCTCTCTTTCTCTCTCTCTCTCTCTCTCTCTCTCTCTCTCTCTCTCTCTTTGTAACGTGTGCGTATTAAATACTTAATTCACTCGAGAAGAAACTCGGTTTCGGCAGTGAAAGTCAATCGTACATCGCGAATATTAACACAGGGACGAGCGTTAGTTCCTGCAAACTCCGACTCAGATTTACATTCCTAACAATAAATAACGATTTGGTCGAGAAAGTCCGCAGACTCAGATCTTCGTCTCGGAGGTTTGCTCATGCGTTGACGCCTCCTCCCGTTTACAACTCTCGGCGACGATTTCGTGAGGGCTTCCTATTTCCAAAACCTCCAGTCGCCGTTCCTCGTCCATCTTGTCCAGCTCCGCTTTGCTTAAGTGATAGACTATCCCAGCGCCATAGCCGTCGCCCAGGACGTTGATCGAGGTCCTGATCCGATCCCTTAAAACAAGTTGATCGTTTTAATTTATGGAATCGCAGTGTCTACATTCGTAACTTACAGCATCCAGTCGATGGCGAACAGCAGAGACACGTCGTTCGTAGGAAGACCCAAGGCAGTTAGCACTAAGAGCATGGTAACCAATGCAGCACTGGGTATGCTCGCGGCGCCGACGCTTGCCAAGGTAGCCGTAAGGCTGTAAAACATCAAAGTAAAGTTTGGGGCAGGAATTTAATTATCTTTTAATTCACCGATCAAAGACATTAATCGCGCACGAACTTTTCTTTTCGATATCTGCCTTCATTCATCTGCTGAGTAACAATATTTCGTAAAAAAAAGCGACATTCTCTTCTATGATGAATAATTATATCGCTTCTACCTGACGGTGATGACTTCAACGAATCCCAACGAGATTCCGTTTAATTGTGCGATGAAGATCGCAGCCACAGCTTCGTAAAGGGCCGTGCCATCCATATTCACAGTGGCACCCACTGCCACGACGAAGCGTGTCACTCGCGTGTCGATCTTGTTATTTTCTTCGAGACAACGGAAGGTTAGAGGCAAGGTCGCCGCACTGTAAACCCGCACATCGATATCTTATCATTATGAAGAATCCGCCGATTGAAGCTTTGCAATTATTCCAGACAGTTGAGATTATGATTTCTAATGTTTTATATATTTTTTGATATCTTAAAAATTAAGAATTATACACTTTGAGCAAGGTGTTTAAAACAATCGATTGTTACCTCGAAGCCGTACCCAAAGCCGTCACCCAGGCTTGCATCATACCCCTGAAGAATATAGCTGGATTCTTTCGAGTCATAAACCAATAGATCAATGGCAACGTAATGATCGCGTGGATCATCAGGCCCAATATAACCGTTACCATGTACAGACCTAACATTTGGGCAGTTGCCGCCAAATTGGTGATCGACATGATCTTTCCAGCTATCAAACACATAATTCCGAACGGGGAGTACCTGCGATAATTGCCGTATACAGCGACAGAAAATAATCAGAACACAAAATAAATAAGCCGAGGAAATAAAAATTTCCTTCTTATCGCGGAATAATGAAGTTAAGTCTACATTATCGAGTATAGGAGGAACATACATGTGTTTACATGAATGATGTATGTTATTCCATATTATTCCATATTTCCTATATTTTTGATAATGAAGTTATTACGATTTAAAGCTAAAAGCTATTACGATTTTCTAGCTTCGTAGTGCAATTTATGTTACTCGAGTCGAAAATATCTTCAGAATTCTATCATATCAAATATAACTGAAAAATACGATAAATTTAAATGAGTGGTGCGAGTAGATACTCTAATTTTAGCATTCTGTAACTTCCACAAGGTTGAAAGTAATGATGAAGTTGATTATAACTATATAATGCGCAACGATCAACTGTTCCTCAATCGTGGCTTATATTTACGAGGCAAACAAATTGTTTCATTGCTTCGTACCAGACCACGACGATCGTGACGAGCTTCATAATGATCTCGTTCAGCACCACGAAAAAGTCCACCATCAGCTTCCCGCGGGGTCCAATCTGGCCCGCGAGCACGCCGAAGATGATGCAGAACACGATCATACCCATTACGTTTGTGCCATCCTTGTAAACCAAGGTTGGCTCCATTATGTATTCGCTCTGGTTTGAGCTGCCGATCACGACAACCTTCTTCTTCACGTAGGAGGTCTGAACCTGCTGGAAGCATGCCTGCACCAAATTCTCCGGCACCATGTTTCTGGAAACGGAAAGAGCCGCGGATCTCGTACGTAGGTTTTACGGTCACGTAGTTGGAAACGCTTTTCCGTACCGAATGATATCGAGAATCGCATCTACAGTGGAGACCTTGGTTTCCTCGGCCCTCACCACTGCCGCGACCGTAGTTTTAATTTGCGGGTCACCCGGATGAATCATCAACACCATCGCGATGCCCACTATAGCGGCGAGGATAGTCGTCACCGAGTAGTACGTTAACGCTCTAATCCCTATCCTTCCTGACCTTTGAACATCTAGCTGTGCCATTCCTAAAAGTAACGTTCCGTTCATGCACTGCGAGCTTCAGTGAACGAAGATGGAGATGAATCAAGAAATAAATTTCAAGATAGATGGTTTCTCTGTTTTGCAAAACATGTTTACTTTGTGTACGTTACGTTGTGAGCTTTTCCTACTTGACGATAATTGTTTAGGATTGAATTAATTACCGGAGATGAGCGACGAGATGATAAGTGGCAGGATAAACATCTTCAGCATCCGCATAAGGATTTCTCCCGGAAAACTGATGAGAGTTATAGACTGCGGCGACAAATTGGCCAATCGACCCAAAAAACCGAGTCCCAGACCCACCAAAACTCCAGCGATAGTCAATACCAGAAGCATGTTACTTCCCATCCACTCTACTACCTGTATTTATCAATTTATAACATGCAGTAAGATTCAATAGATTTCTCGTGCATACCACAGGCATTTTCATATTTTTATCAAGCTACATCATAGAATGATTAGGATATTTTCAACGAAATTTGATGATCACATATTTAAGATTTTACTGATGCAAAACAAATTTGATGAAAAAAGAAAAGAAGCTGACTAACCATCTGTAACCTGTCGAGTGCCGTCACTTGATGTCGCACTTCGGCCTCGACTTCCTCTTCGGACGTCATTTTTTCGATCTCTTCTGTGCACGATCTGGAAGGTATTCCAGGTGAGAGAAATAGCTCGGATTCTCGATAAAAACAAAATAAATATTTTTACGTGTGGCCCTCCTTGGCCTCCGTCGCGGTCCCTCTGAGAACCGCAACAGCGCCGGAAATACGTTGTCCCAAAGACATCCTTCAGGCTTCAAAAGCACGTCACTTCAGGTTTTCGTGAAGTATCTTCCTTCGTACGCAAAGTATGTCGAAATGGATCTTGCGAGCATCATCCCGCAGCCTTCATGGCTGTGCTGTGTCTTCTAATGGTGTGTATCATTTCGGTTTATTCAGACTTCCGCTCTTTCAATTCTATATTATCGAGTATAGGAGGAACATACATCATTCATGTGTTTATATAATTCTATATTTCCTAATATTTTTGATAATGAAGTTATTATGATTTAAAGCTAAAAGTTATTACGATTTTCTAGCTTCGTAGTGCAATTTATGTTACTCAAGTCGAAAATATCTTTAGAATTCTACCATATCAAATATAACTGAAAGATACGATAAATTTAAATGAGTGGCAAGTAGATACTCTAATTTTAGCATTCTGTAACTTTCTGTAACTTCTGTAAATAAATTCTGTAAATTTCTGTAGCTTCATAGAAACAGAAAAGAAAACATAAAAACAAAGGATAATGTTGCATACACAAAAACTTAATCCGAAAAACTTCCACCAAGATTATCTTCCGCTCTTCTGGCTTGGTCCTCACGTTTTCCGCAATCAAACTTCGCAAGTGGGCACTTCTTCTCGCGTACGATTATCGAAGCACGTGCGAATCGTTCGGGAGTACATCACGACACACGACGATCCTTTTGCGCGATCCACCCGAGGACCGTCCGAGCGGGCTGCACTAGCGCGCGAGAATCGACACGCTGTTCCCGAGAAGACGACGACGGGGTATAAGGCCCCGAAGGAGGTCACACCCGATCTATTACGTCCAGGATCATTGCACTGCGGTATCGCGGGCGCGAGTGACATCCGCGAGGCTTTCCGCGCGCGCGTGATCGACTGTCGAGATCGGATGGATCTGCTAGTGGGCTAGGTATCGCGGCGTTGGGATCTGCACAATCAGGCAGATAATGTGCCCCATCCAGGAAGCTGATTAGTGCGCGCGCCGAGGGAGGCCCGGGGAAGCGAAAGGCGCACCGAAAGGGGGAAAAGGGACGCACGGACAGATGACAGAGACGTTCAGGGGAGAAAGAGAGACCGGGTGATCACAGGAAGAGGGCACTCATCGGCGGCGGGTCGCACGGCACCGAATAATAAGCGCCGAAGGAAGAAAAATGCGCGGTATGGCGTTTGGTTTTGAAACCGGCCCGCTTGCTCCGGCAAGCTCGAAGCCGTTCAGTCACGCTGCTGCATATTGGCGAACGGAAGACATGCTGGACCGAAGATAGGGACGGAGAATGAGAACGGGATAAGAGAAAGAGACCTCGCATACGCGCGCGAAATGAATCTTCGACGGTGACGTAGAAGCGTGAAGAGTGCTGGACGCTCTCTCGTAACGCATCATTCGTAGAAGCAGGCATCAGATGCGGAAGTGTGACGCAAAATCGCAGGATACCAGTGTAGAAACACCATTGATCAAATCAATGATTATATTATGTAATATATTACACAGTGAAATTATAATAATGAGCTTGTACCATTTCATACAGGATACTTTAAAAATATTGCTCACTAAATTTAGATTCGATTTATTCGTACATTCTATACTTAAAAACCGACGAAGATTTCAATAAATAACTGTACATTTTATATTTCCAAGTTATTACGCTTTTAAGCTTTGGTATGAGAATGTAGTTCGCCCTCTAAAAATAGAGAAAAATATCTCTTATCTATGAAAAATATCGAGAGATAAACAGTCATAATTAATATTATATTTCTAAAAATCTTCTCGTACATAACGATAACAAAAGTGAACGCCTTTTGCAATGATTTATGCAAAATTATAATAAATTTAATCCATATATTACAATTTAAAGCTATATCTTTGCGACACCGTTTTCAGAAATTTTATCTTAGACAATCAGTAACAATGTTCTTAGTGTGACGAATGGCGTCATTAATTTTAATTTAATGATGTCAAAATGTTATTATTCGAATCGCCGTACATATTGCAGAAACCATGTAATAATTTGATATCTATATTCTGTTAAATTTTTATCGTATTTTCTTTCGATCAAAAGAATCGAATTTCTTCGATTTTTAATTTTCTACAGCGCCGGTAGCTGTTTGCGAAAACAAGAAGATATCTATACGCGGAAATACTTGTACGAGATTGTTTTAGATGCATGTAGGATACGACCATTTACAAGACCCCTTTGTATATCCGTTGGGAAGTAACCTAATTCCTCTAGCAATGACGGCTATGAGTGACTATATATAGACTAGCATCGGGTTCACGGTGGTAGTATAATACGAGGACAAATCGAATCTCCCCACGATAACGCGTTTAACATCTCGCAACTTCCGAACGAAAGAACGAGTCTCCAGATGGAATTAATAATGCGTTCAGGACAATCAAGTTACAATTGTCATATGATAATTCTTGGGTACACTCTTAAGCGTTTATATAATAAAACATAATATTAATAGACACACTACTTTTACCTGAGACAGCTGTTTTTGGTTCAATGAAGGTTTTTCGTTTCGAAGTTAGTAGTTTCAAAGTAAAATGAACATAAACTCAAACTATTGTATGAGTATTGGTAAAATCATATATTTATCACTTGTGATATTAATTATTTCTGCAATTTATATTCGGTATTCTACTCGAATGTATCAAAGTCGTATCGAAGTCGTATCGAAGCCATATCGAAGTCTTTTTCTCGCGATGCTGATTGGTTGTTTCATTACGACGTGCAACAAGACAACCAATCAGCATCGCGGGAAAGAAGCTTCGATACAACTTCGATATATTCGAGACATCTGATAGCATGTAATTTTTTTATATAGGAACATGGATAATAATGCATTTATCGTCAAGAGAATAACACAAATAAATGAAAAGCAATCAGATTAAAGTTGAATATATAAACAATTTCATATAGTAATATCAAAATAATAGCTACATTTCTACACCAGTGTAACTCTCGTTCAAATCGGTCAGTTATGCGCAGATTCGTGCGTAAAGATCGCGTGACGTCACAGCTTTTCGGCGTTAAGTGTTATGTGGCGCGCTCTCGTCCATACTTGCGATGACTACAGGAAACCACGAAAAGCATCTTTTTTACAACAGTTTGTCGATTCTGCTGAAAGCCGTCGAGAAGCAACGAACAACGGTGGACTTGCGGAATGAGGCATCGATCTTCGGTATCGTCGAGGAGGCCGATGCGTACGTAATTAGCAACGCATTTTATCTCCGTTATGGCGTTGTTGGTAATTGCTGTTATATTTAAAAATGTGTCGTTTATTTACGATAACATAATATTCTCGTAGTGAGGTACTTTTTCGATATTAATGTATGACTCTTTCTGTTATAAGTGAAGAAGATTTCGTCCTGACGTGACGAAATGTTCTCGGTCCTAAACTCGACACACGTAATCATGTCTATCTTTCTAGGTTCATGAACATCGTTATGAGAGATTGTATATTCACGGATCCACGCGGAGACTCCTTTAAATACGACATGTTCTTTGTGCAGGCAAGGAACATCCGCTGTGTTCACATCCCGCCGAACGTAAGTAGATAGAAAATTGTGAATTTTTCGATACGTTTTCTCTCTCTCCCCTCTCTCTGACCACTTTCCCGCTTCTCCTTCACCTAGTCTCTGTCTGGTAATGTTTGGGGCAGTTTGCAGAATGATATATAGGTCATAGGACGAATCGTACTACTTTTAGGTTATAATACACAGAAACTTGTAAAGAGAATATAAAAAAATATATTTCCTTTCATTCATATTTCTCGAAAAATAAGCGCCCGAGTACTGTCAAGCAAAGTGTAGGAGTTTGGTATCTCAAAGTTGTCTAATATGATTTCAAAACGTTGTTGCAACTGTTTGTATTTCAGCATATGCTGATTGTTGGTTATAGCTGATATGGTCATGTGATATGATCAAAAGCCTAAAGTATTCTTATTATAATACTATCAAATTGTGTATGAATACATTTGTGCATAAACAAGTGATTGATAGAACAGTTCTATTAACCAATATCACTGGGCATATGAACTCTTGTCGGTATAGTTTCAAGGCATATTACACAGAACACAACATGAATATGTTGAGGCTAGCTGACTACGACTGCATTGGCTTTGACTTGGATAACACTTTATTACGCTATAACATCACAAACCTGATGCATATGGAATATGAGATGTTAGCTACATTCATGGTAGATAACCGGGGATACAGTAAAAAACTTTTAAAACCATTGACAGACAGCGATTTGGATTTTATGCAAAAAGGATTGCTGTTAGACTTTGAGAGGGGAAATGTACTCAAAGTAAGTCCAGATGGTGTTATTCATAGAGCATGTCATGGGACACATTTGTTGAATAAAGATCAGATAAAGAAGATATATCCTGATCAGAGATGGGAAGTCACCGATATTTTCTGTAACAATGTTTTGGATGCTTGGAATGGTCCTTTGTCAGAGAAAGTAAGAAGTTTGTTGGATTATTTCGATATACCAGCAAGTCTCGTGTTTGCACGGGCTGTAGATGCCCTGGATGAAGAATGTGAATCACATCAGGATAAATATAATATCTGGCCTGATATATTAGATGGTATGATCTATATGTTTTCTGTAAGTCATTTTGAATCAGGTAAAGGGATTTTTGGACATATTAAGAAAAATCCGGAAAAATATTTGCGCAAAACTGATATAACAGCTATAATGTCATGGTTAAAACAGATTAAACCAACAATTTCAATTTTTCTCCTTACTGGATCAAATGTGGACTTTGTGAATTTTACCGCAAATTATGCTTTTGGAGAGGAGTGGAAATCTATTTTTGATATTATAATATGTTTTGCAAAAAAACCAGGCTTTTTTACTGGTGATCGACCATTCCTAGATATAGTACAAAATAAAGAAACTGATGTTGTAAGCCAACATTTACAAAAGGGCAAAATATATAGTCAAGGAAATTGGAAAGGTCTACGAGAATTTATCTCTCGTACAACAGGGAAAGAGAACCCACGATGTTTATACATTGGCGATAATTTAGTGCAAGACGTTTATGTACCAAATACTTTTGCGTGTTGTGACACGATATCCATAGTTGAGGAAGTAATGTCAGAGAAGAATGTTGATTGTACAAACTTGTGCCGTGAACAGCATCCAGATGAAAAGTTGTTGAACTCACAGCTTTGGGGCTCTTACTTTTGCTTGACAGACTTAAAGACTAATGTAGATACTTTCTGGGGTCATATGATAAAGAAACGTTCAAAACTTTGTGTATCATGCATCGATGAGATTTTAACAGTTGCTGTAGATAAACCATTTTCATGTTTTGATAAAAATGGAAAATCATAACAGATATCTTACTGGTATGCTTGTTAATATAGTCAATTATGTGTCAATTGTGTCAATTAATGTATCAATTATGAGAAAATATTTACTTTTATTTCGAGATTAAGTGGAAAAATAAATATTAATTAAGGCTCACATTTTTGTATATGTAATTTTTAAAATTTTAAATAGTCAATTCTTTGCTCTTTTTTTTAAACTTATAAAATTTAACTTGGTACTTAATATTTTGGTATGTACTAATAACTTTAGTACCACAAGTATATTTTTACGTTATGTAGCGTCATCTCTGATGAAAGCATGTTGTTACAATTTAAGATACGGATTATACCAGCTATCAAGGAACAGTTGCTACAATTAAAGGGTCCTCCGAGGGAAATTACAGATATGAAACATAATTTCAGAGCACAACGCGCTCAACAGAGACAACGGGAAGATCTCGCAGCCGTAGACAAGATGTTACAAAGTAGAAATAAGACTGATTCTGAATTCACAGAGAGGAAATGAGATTTATATAAATTTAGTTTAATACCCTTTTTATTACCCGCACATAGGAACTCGAATGACGCTACGTATAATGTATCGTTCAAATAAACGATTGTGATTTAATTATATATAGCATTAGAAACTTTGCTTTTACTTCATATTTTACTCTTCCTGTATACTTTATAGCCTGTGAGAAGCTTAATATTGCAATATTTTATATATATGTATATAAATATATCTTTATACATATTCTTTATACATCTTTGTATAAATCACAGTATAAAAATACTCAACTGTCCATCATCTTCTAAAACTGTATGGTATAATACTTTAATACATTAGAAAAAACCTCAAGATAACGAATGTCTCCAAGATAATCATATAACATAAAATAAACGCTATTTTCGTAAAAAAGATCTTTTAACTTTATAAGTTTAAATTTTTAAGTTTAAAGTTTTAAGTTTAAAGATCTTTAAACTTGTTATTAGATAAAAGAGACATTCGTTATTTTCTTTCAATAGCAATAGCAATGCCCATACCCCCTCCAATGCATAAAGACGCGACACCTTTTTTCTTTCCAGTTCTTTTTAGAATGTGTAACAAAGTGACCAGTATTCTTGCTCCTAAAAACATAATTCGATTAGAAAGTGAGGAAAGTTCCGTTGAAGAAAGTTTAAGCATTAATTCAACGAATACCTGATACACCAAGGGGATGACCTAAGGCGATAGCGCCACCATTGACATTAACTTTCTCAGGATCTAACCCGAGCTCTTGAATACACGCAATCGCTTGCGCTGCAAAGGCCTCATTTAATTCATAATAGTCTACTTCTTCTTTCGTCCAATTTGCTTTCTTCAACTGAAATAATAGTGCGCACATTTTCAGTTATAAAGTCGTGTTCCGCTAGAATAAATGCGATCAATATTGAACCAAATATATTATTATTATACTAACAACTGATATGATAGCATCAACTGGCCCAATGCCCATAATTCGTGGTTCAACTCCAACTTGCGCAACTGCAACGATATTGGCTAATGGTGTTATTCCTTTATTTGCAGCAGCTTCTTGAGACATTAAAACTAAAGCAGCTGCACCATCACTCATACCAGATGCATTACCGGCAGTAATCGTGCCGTTTTCCTGAACACAATGTAATATCTTAGAAATATTATTCCTTTTGCTTATAAGGTTATATGGTGTTACACAAAGATATATTTGCATATACCGGTCTAAATGTTGGTTTTAACTTAGCCAGCTTTTCCACAGTCGTCTGGAATCTCGGAAATTCGTCTTGAGAAATGACATTAATCTCTTTCTTCTTTTCAATAATCACTGGAACAATTTCGTTTTTAAAATGTCCAGCAATAATGGCAGCTTCTGCTTTCTGTTGAGATTTACTCGCATATTCGTCCTGTGACTCTCTGCTTATTGCATATTTTTCCACAAGGTTCTCAGCTATTCATAATAAATTAGAAACAATAATACATTATTATGCATATAAAATAATGTTATTATACATATTATAATATGCAAAAATAAGATATTATATATAATATGCAAGGTAATATGCGAGAATATTGATTTAAATATGTTCTATTCAGTTATGTAACATCTTTTTCTTACCTGTGATTCCCATATGAATATTATGGAAGGCATCTGTTAAACCATCCTCTATCAGTGTATCAACCAAATTAGTATTTCCATATTTGACAGCATTCCTGAGATGGATGGCATGTGGTGTTCTACTCATGTTTTCTTGACCACCAGCTACAACTATATCACTCTCTCCTGATTTTATAGAAGTATAACCATTTATCACAGACCTGCAAATTATTGCATGTCACACTTCAATGTCAATGTTTTATACCTTCAATATTTAGATTTATGTTCATATTACACCAGTGGTATAGCCAGGGGGGGGGGGG